ATGTATATTTGATATGACTATAAATCATTAACATTGTCATTATAATGTTATTATTATATTATTATTGTTGTCATATATTTATTATCATTAGTTTTTATATTATGACTTTTTTATTGTTATTATAAATATATGTTAATAATAATATCATTGTTATTAATGCAGTTTTTATTATTGTTGCCGTATGTTGATGTAAATGAAAAAGGAATAACAAAGGCAACGATTTCAAACACTTTAATTTCGGCATAGTTCAGCTTTGCATTCAAATTTCTTTTGGTAATTACTGTATTTTGTAAATATACAGTAAATTGGAGCCGAGTTGACTTGCGGCCGAGGTGACTTGGGGCCGAGTTGACATGGGACCGAATTGACCTGCTTCCTTGTAAATATTGCATATTAATAAATAACACTGACTTTATTATATTGACACATGCCATCCTAATTCTATGCACAATTTTCACGGAAATCGGCCCATATTTTCGAAGAGTGGACGGATTTCTAGGCCTGAACTATGATATTTTACGACCTCCTCATCTCTTTACATGACTGACATGCAGCGAACTCGACCGTAGGCCTAGTACTAGTAGTAGTACCTTCCTTGGTCCACTTGGTTGTCTAATTTTAGTAGCTTTTAGTAAACCTCTAGCTAGCTCACTGACACTCACTTTATGGTCTTTGCTAAACACACACACACACACACAGAACTAACCTTAGCCCTACAACATGCTCTGTCCAGCAGACCTAAAACAAAGCCAGTTAGGGCCTAATAGTCCTTGATTCTACTGTGTCTCTTGGCACATTTTACTGCCTCATCTCATCCTCTTGTGTTGTGTATGTTGCAAGCTAGGCTTAATCAACCGTAACGAAAGACCAATCGCGGTCACCCAATGCGGTTCTTTCCTAATACGGTATTTGTCTGTATTATTAGGCATCATCGACATTCTTAAATATTTATTACTTTAACAATAACAATAATCATAATACAATAAGTAAATTATAAATACAATAAAATAATTATAAATATTAATACTACAGGCGCAGATTTTGCCACTAAATTTTAAAATTTCAATGAATAATGCCTGAATAATGTTATACCGTACTAAAACCTCGAATTGAAGCCCAGTGAGCTTAATCTCGAGAAGAAGCCTATCTCGAATTGAAGCTTCATTTTTCGTTTGCAAAAGTAGCCTCGCAAAAAAGCTTGTTTTCGAGATAGTACAGTTGTAGGGTTCTCTGTTGCACAGCATTTTAATCTTCTTCTGTTGTTACATTTAATCATAAGAAATCACGCTTTGGTTTATAGTAGTTGATGATTTAATACCAGTTAATACACTCCAAGATACAGATTGAGGTTACAGTAGCCTTATTTATTGAATAAATTCATTGGATCCAAACGATAAGTGTGTTCTAAAGGTTCTTTTAGCCTGATGATCCAAAGTGTAAAATTAAGATGCTCACTATTTATTTAGCAGCAGGCGAAACGTCACGAAATAAATAGGAGTAACATCTTAATTTTACACTTGACTTTGGATCATCTAAACCTTTACAACGGCCTTATTCATTTTTTAAAAGCAGTAATTTCGAAAATTTACAGCATTCATTTTGAAAAGAATCCCCTTCTTTACTTTGCAAAAGTAGCTTCGTAGGAAAAGAAGTCCACCCAAGTCTTCTTAGACCTAATAATAATAATAATAATAATAATAATAATAATAATAATAATAATAACAATAATAATAATAACANNAATAATAATAATAATAATAATAATAATAATAATAATAATAATAATAATAATAATAATAATAATAATAATAATAATAATAATAATAATAATAATAATAATAATAATAATAATAATAATAATAATAAACCAGAAACCATGTCCTTTCCGAATTGTGTCGTCATATACCTACTACTGTAATATTTTGGTAAACAAATAAATACCAAAAGGCCAATTAAGTACATCGAGATGGGCTTTACCTACCAGAACCATGAAACTCATAATTACACCACCTGGAACAACAACAAAAAAACCCCAGTTTTTATGAATGTCATTTTTTAATGTTTCAATCGTCGGGTGTACCCATACACTGTCGCTGTTTGAGTGGTGGCTGGTGAAGAAAACTTATTTTTTATTCTTCTGTTAATTTTTTTTTTGTTTCGAAATTTTCCAACACCTATTAGAAATCTTTCTTATTATTTTGCACGATAATATGATATAAGCATTAACTGTATTGATGTATGCCACCGATGTAATTCAAATAAATTGATTGATGTAACAATTATCCGGCTAATTAACTCCGTCATTCAAAAAGGTATTTCTAACTTTATTAAAAAATATCTATTATAATTAATTTTCTTCCTTAACGAGATAGAAAGAACAATGTAATATCAAAAAGAATGGTTGGTTGGTTGGTTGGTTGGTTGTTGGTTGGTTGATTGTTGTTGGAGTTACATATGGTTGGTGGTTCATGATCAGCAAATTCCACTATGCCGCCCTCTATTGTATTCTGCAAAAAATCGCTACGAACTGAATGGTGTCGCTCCCCGAGAGAGTTTCTATCATCACTTATTCCTTAACTTTTTATACATAATGGCTGAAAAGGAGCAACAAGAATTAGCATCACAAACTGAAGAGGCAAAAAAGATCGATGCCAATGTTGACACGACAGGAGAAGGATCAGAGCAAGGCAAGACCAGTTCCGATGCAGCAAATGCTAGCCCGACACCAACATCTCCTGATGGTGGAGGATCGAGCGCTTCCGAAGAGGTAAAAGGTGCGGCAGGGGGAGGCCTAAATATTGAAGACCTTGTAGCTGATAATAAGAACTGCAAGACTCTAAAATGTTTGCGATGTGGAAGCACTATCTTAAGGCCAGATAATGCGACATATCAGAAAAAGGAGGTGAGTGAAATCCAATCAGCATTTTAGGAATTGCTGTAAAATTAGTGTAACAATAATACAATAGAATTCATAGCCACTGTTATGATATTCATATTCACTGTACAAAAGTTATTGTACGAGACTGAGGTCACAGGTCACTGGAATAAAAATACAAAGTATGGCAGCATTGCGTTGCATGAGTTTCTTTTATAATCGTGTCTAAATCAACATGGTGGCAGCGGATCGGCTAAAAGCGGAAAGTTATACGAACCCTGAATATTTTTAGAACACTCAGGAGTAGAAATTTATCCAGTCATTTCAAGGAAAGTGTGCAGAAAACACCATATATACGATCATTGTTATTAATGCAGTTTTTATTATTGTTGCCGTACGTTGATGTAAATGAAAAAGGAATAACAAAGGCAACGATTTCAAACACTTTAATTTCGGCATCATTTCAGCTTTGCATTCAGATTTCTTTTGGTAATTACTATATTTTGTAAATATACAGTTAATTGGAGCCGAGTTGACTTGTGGCCGAGTTGACTTGTGGCCGAGTTGACTTGTGGCCGAGTTGACAAGGGGGCCGAATGACCTGCTTCCTTGTAAATATTGCATACCGGTATTAATAAATAACACTGACTTTATTATATTGACACATGCCATCCTAATTCTATGCACCTTTTCACGGAAATCGGGCCATATTTTCGAAGAGCGGACGGATTTCTAGGCCTGAACTATGATATTTTACCTCCTCCTCATCTCTTTACATGACTGACATGCACCCAACTCGACCGTAGGCCTAGCCCCGGGCCTAGTAGTACCTTGACCTTCCTTGGTCCACTTGGTTGTCTAATTTTAGTAGTAGTTTAGTAAACCTCTAGCTAGCTCACTGGCACTCACTTTATGGTCTTTGCTAAACACACACACACACACACACACACAGAACTAACCTTAGCCCTACAACATGCTTTGTCCAGCTGACCTAAAACAAAGCCAGTTTGGGGGGCCTATATCTAATTCCTTGGTTCTACTGTGTCTCTTAGCACGTTTTACTGCCTCATCTCATCCTCTTCTTGTGTTGTGTTGCAAGCTACGTTTAATCAACCGTAACGAAAAACCAATCGAGGTCACCCAATGAGGTTCTTTCCTAATACGGTATTTGTCTGTATTACTACATTGTAGGTAGTGACTATTTTAGGCATCATAAACATTCTTAAATATTTATTACTTTAACAATAACAATAATCATAATACAGTAAGTCAATTATAAATACAATAAAATAATTATAAATATTAATACTACATGCGCAGATTTTGCCACTAAATTTTAAAATTTCAATGAATAATGCCGGAATAATGTTAGGCCTTAAACCGTAAAACCTCATTGAAGCCAGTAAGCTTAATCTCGAGAAGAAGCCTATCTCGAATGAAGCTTCCTTTTTCATTTGCAAAAGTAGCCTCGCAAAAAAGCCCATCTCGAAAAGAAGCCCATGGGATTCTTTTCAAGATAGCAAGAGCTTGTTTTCGAGATAGTACAGTTATATAGGGTTCTCTGTTGCACAGCATTTTAATATTCTTCTTTTGTTACATTTAATCATAAGAAATCAAGCTTTGGTTTATAGTAGTTGGTGATTTAATACCGGTTAATACACTCCAAGATACAGATTGATGTTACAGTGGCCTTATTATTGAATAAATTCATTGGATCCAAACGATAAGTGTGTTCTAAAGGTTCTTTCAGCCTGATGATCCAAAGTCAAGTGTAAAATTAAGATGCTCAAAATTTTAGCAGCAGGCGAAACGTCAAGAAATAAATAGGAGTAACATCTTAATTTTACGCTTGACTTGGATCATCTAAACCTTTAGAACGGCCTTATTTATTGTTTCAAAGTAGTACTTCCGAAAATTTACAGCATTCATTTTGAAAAGAATCCCCTTCTTTACTTTGCAAAAGTAGCTTCGTAAGAAAAGAAGTCCATCCGAAGTCCCCGCAAAGCCCATGGTTTTTTTTCTACTAACTTATCTATTATGGAAATGTTGTCCCCAATCTAAGGATTTTTGTTTTTAAAACTTTTGAAAAGGCATAGGCCTATCACTGATAATTACTGCAATTTAATATAAATAACTGCGAAGCTTTAATAATAATAATAATAATAATAACAATAATAATAATAACAATAATAATAATAACAATAATAATTAATAATAATAATAATAATAATAGGCTAATAACAATAATAATAATAACAATAATAATTAATAATAATAATAATAGGCTAATAATAATAATAATAATAATTGGCTAATAATAATAATAATAGGCTAATAATAATAATAATAATAATAATAGGCTAATAATAATAATAATAATAATAATAATAAATAATAATTAAAAAAAACCAGAAACCAGGTCCTTTCCGAATTGTGTCATCATATACCTACTACTGTAATATTTTGGTAAACAAATAAATACCAAAAGGCCAATTAAGTACATCGAGGTGGGCTTTACCTACCAGAACCATGAAACTCATAATTACACCACCTGGAACATTTCTGATTTTATTCAAATTCATTTTAAAAAATGCTGTCAAATTGTATGAATTCTATATGCCTAATATTTTTTCGATTATACAAAAAACAAAAAACAACAAAAAAAAAACAAAAACAAAAACAAAAACAAAAACAAAAAAAAAAACCCCAGTTTTTATGAATGTCATATTTTAATGTTCCAATCGTCGGGTGTACCCATACACTGTCGCTGTTTGAGTGGTGGCTGGTAAAGAAAACTTATTTTTTATTCTTCTATTAATTTTTTTTTGTTTCGAAATTTTCCAACACCTATTTGCACTCTTTGCTTTAAGTGCATAGAAATCTTTCTTATTATTTTGCACGATAAAATGATATAAGCATTAACCGTATTGATGTATGCTACTGATGTAATCCAAATAAATTGATTGATGTAACAATTATCCAGCTAATTAACTCTGTCATTCATAAAGGTATTTCTAACTTTATTAAAAAATATCTATTATAATTATTTTTCTTCCTTAACGAGATAGAAAGAACAATGTAATATCCAAAAGAATGGTTGGTTGGTTGATTGGTTGGTTGGTTGTTGGTTGGTTGATTGATAAATTTATAGATAGATAGATAGATAGATAGATAGATAGATAGATAGATAGATAGATAGATAGATAGATAGATAGATAGATAGATAGATAGATAGATAGATAGATAGATAGATAGATAGATAGATAGATAGATTGATCGATCGATCGATCGATCGATCGATCGATCGATCGATTGATTGTTTGATTGATTGATCGATTGACTGACTGACTGACTGACTGATTGATTGATTGATTGATAGTTGCTGGAGTTACATATGGTTGGTGGTTCGTGATTAGCAAATTCCACTATGCCGCCCTCTATTGTATTCTGCAAAAAAATCGCTACGAACTGAATGGTGTCGCTCCCCGAGAGAGTTTTTATCATCACTTATTCCTTAACTTTTGATACATAATGGCTGAAAAGGAGCAACAAGAATTAGCATCACAAACTGAAGAGGCAAAAAAGATCGATGCCAATGTTGACAGGACAGGAGAAGGATCAGATGAGCAAGGCAAGACCAGTTCCGATGTAGCAAATGCTAGCCCGACACCAACATCTCCTGATGGTGGAGGATCGAGCGCTTCCGAAGAGGTAAAAGGTGCGGCAGGGGGAGGCCTAAATATTGAAGACCTTGTAGCTGATAATAAGAACTCCAAGACTCTAAAATGTTTGCGATGTGGAAGCACTATCTTAAGGCCAGATAATGCGACATATCAGAAAAAGGAGGTGAGTGAAATCCAATCAGCATTTTAGGAATTGCTGTAAAATTAGTGTAAACAATACAATAGCCACTGCCAGAATTACTAATGTTAAAACTGGTGTAACAATAGCCACTGCCAAAATTATTTATACTTTTATTATAATATTAAAAATTAATTAGTTTTACTTCTCATTTATATAATTTGTATTCTGTCAAAGAATGAGTAAATAATAATATAATAATATTTACCTCTTTTATTCACCTTAGATATTTTTGCCACATATGAAGAAGAAGAAGGCCAACCAAGCTGCGACTGATGGAGAAACATTATCAGATCAATGGCGCATTGAAGGAATGTATACCTTTGAGAATGTGGGATTTACAAACGCTGTTAACAACATAAAATATCTTATATGTGCTGACTGTGAAGTTGGACCAATAGGCTGGTACGATCAAAGTGATGCTAATAATTTCTATGTGGCAATGGAACGTGTACAGCATGAATGATGAGTTAGGTTGGCATTGAGACATATCGTCTTTCTACCATGCACGAATGAAATTTTTTATAGTGGCCATCACGACTCGTCAACCCATTCTTGACATGAAGCATTTGCCATTAAATACTAATGATCCGCGGGGGTTACAGTACCATGTGTACTGTGAATGAGGCTATCTGAGGCAGCCAATCACAAGATAGAAAGTTAAAGATGATTACATTTACCAAGGATGAATTCTGCTCACACAAATATTGCATGTGAATAATATTTATAACTGACTACTAATGAATTTTATGATTATGTTCCGTAATGTTGTTACAGTACAACACTAATACAGTATGTACTTGTTTACTCAAAATCATGTAATTTTTATTACAACTTATTCACTGTTGAATTCAGTGTAAAGACTCTGGGTACAGTAGTACTGTATGTTTTCAAATTCCACTGAATATTGTAATTAATAATTGTGACCGGCATGGCAAAACCAGCCATGAGTTGATGGTGTTTTTAAATTCTGCATGAATTCTTTAATCACAGTGTTTATTTGATGGAAATTGGTTAAGTATTAGTAAATTTATGAATATTTAATTCATTTGATATTAGCCATGTAGGTTTTGAGAAAACAGCTTCTAAAGATTACAAAATTTAATAATTTTATTATGAAGATTTGTATTTAAAAAAATGTTTTTTAAATACTTTTCAGTTAGATTTAGTGATTGATATTTTGCAAGAAATGTTCTTCAATATAACTTCTTAAAAAAAAAAAAAAACATGAAAATTTTGGTTGTCACATGTGCTTATGGGAAATTAGAAATTGCGACAAATGGTGGGTGTTGCCAGAGCTGGTCACAATTTCCAAGGGGGGGGGGGGGGTGCAGGTGTGAGTGTAAAGGTGAAGTTAAAGGGCTTGATGATTAAGTGAGGGGGTGCTAGCTGGCAATTTTGGGTTACATATGAGGTGATTTTTAACTAATTGACCATATTTTATTTGCTGCGAAAATTTCCAGTGGGCGAGGGCAACTGGGATATGCCCCCTATATACACCACTGGATATAAAACTTATTGAACACCACATCATGTAGACGTACATGTTGGTAGGCACTTTTATTAATTTATTGTTTACTGTATAAAGTTGTCGGAAGTTGTAAACAGTTTACAGTGTTTTTTTTTTATAATATAAATGTTAAGTAATATGAACAAAACTATTATACAGTACTGCAAACGTAAAGAAAAGGTCTACCAATTAAGGACCACTTCAGTGACTGGGGTTTTAATGGTTTGTGGTAGAATAATAAAAATAAAAGACATTTGTTGATTTGGGACCACAGAAAAGTGGTCTTTAATTGGAGGTGGTCTTTAATTAGAGGGAGACCTGTATACAGCCGTCCAATGGCAAAACAACGTAACTGCTGTTATAGTTTTGTATCCGACTGTAATTTGCATATGACAGATCTTGCAATTGCTGGTATCTGGTGCCGACATTTTCATTGGTTTGTATAGCTGAAAATAATGCATAAAATTTATTTTAAGTTCTACAACAATCAGTGGTGCTCATACAGGCCCAATATTCAAGAGGTTATTTTATTTATTAGTTGAGGTTCACAAAATCCTAACCAATGAAGTATATAAATGGGTGTGGTGCATCTTATGAATATTCAGTGATTACCACCATAGACATGAAGATAGCAATAACCTACCCGAGTGGATATAGTTGGTGCTTTAGGAGTGGGGCTTGCCTTTCTGAACCACTGTCTTGGGTTCGAGTACGGTCAAACACTTAGTTTATAGAGCATTGTACCATCCTGTAAGTTTATACTTGCTGTTGGATGTAAACTTTTTTTTTAATCTGGCCAATCGCAACGCCAGACCGACATTCTGAAATGGGTATGCTGCAGTTTAAAAGGCGTTGGCTGATGCAGGGTTTGGCTGGCTTATGCTGATATTTTTAGTACAATACTTAATGGTACTTTATTAGGATAGGAGAAATGCTGCAGATAATGTATAGAAAGGCAATTGATAAATGAGAAGTTTTTGTGGAATAATGACCAAAATTATGTGTTTACTTTGTTGATCTTGTCATATTGAATAAATGTGTACTTGTGTGATCCATGCATTTCATGTCATTTTATTTTAAAATGTGTTCTGCACCAAATTTGAGATCCTCAAGGCAATAACTGGATGGTTTTTGATGATTTCAGATCAACATGGGACAGATTCCAAGTGCTGTAAAATTTACTGAATATAAAATATTATTTAATCATTTATATATTTACTTTAATATTTTGTTATAATATAAAATAAAAAATTATATTATATTTCATTAAAGATAAAAATGATGAACCACACCTGCCAGCTCTCGCGCATGGACATCCACCTTTTTACATCACGCGCCTACGCTGTATTTTCTCGTGCATAATACAACTTTTATAACAGATAAAATGTAGGCCGATTAACGTATACCCTAAAATTCATAATAATGAAGTGAATTTGTTATTAAAATGTGAATTCAAGCGATATATTTCTTTTAACGAAGCTATACTGACCGAAGACTAATCTGTAGCAAATCCATCACTACAATTATAAAAATAATTTTCACATCGAGTGCGCCATATACAAATTTCATTTTCTTTTTGTCTCGCACATCTGGTGGAAAGCTACGCAGTGCAAGGATTGCATTGAAAGTGCTGTAGCGACCGTGTAGCGATTCTATGGAAACCAAGCTTTAAGAAACCTAACCTCTAAAATTTGCCACTCAGCACATCATCGGTTAGGAGCTGTTTCTTCAGTATAGATTCACAAGAACTTTAACCAAGATATCTACTGTATCAGTTTTAATCAAATTCTTACATCATTTACATTTTCAGTTTCATTTTACTATTATATTTTAAAAAGTGTTTATTTTGTCATGAAAATATGGCTATGTTAATGACAATAAATATTTTTATAACTGTAAAGAATGCAAGGTGTTGGCTTTTATGTTTCTCTGATTAGTAGTTTTAGCCAATCACGTAACATGCAACACTCTTACCCAGTAGGAGTCCGGGGAGGGGCTTCCAAGTTTTAGCCATTTTAATCTCTTATTTAAATGATTTCACAATTGGTTAGCGATTGCTGCCGGGGAGCAAGCACCTTTGAATTCCCTGGAACTGCCACTGATAACTATTGAAATCAGTATATATAATCCAATTTCTAGCAATCATTAACAGTTGATCTATTTTGATATGTACTGATGATGTAACCTAATTGAATGCAATGTTAATCACAACAGCTATGGGGAGTACTTAATCAGTTTGTATTAGAAAATGTAGCTGGCAATCTATATGAAATCCTAATATCTACTGGAAAACCCAACCCATTGCACATCAGCATGATTACATCAGCACAAGTTCTACATCCACACCGTATGTTATGTAACACATAATGAAACGGTAACCTCACTAATACCTCTTCCACAGACTGCTAGAACCTATCTCTTAGTAAGCAGAGCCTTGATATAGATATTCTATACAAACAGCTGGGTAGGCACAAGTCTTCATCCAGCAGCTGGGAAGGCATAGATCCTACATAGACCAGCTGGGTAAGAATAGATCCTGCAAGAGTTGGGTAGGCTTAGATCGTACACATGGTAGCCCATCATCTATGTACAATCACAGAAGTTACATCCATGGTACAAATGAGTTTCATAATTTCAGTTCAAAAAGACTTCAATTCGATAGTAAATGAAGTAAAAATAATTTTCTTTTATAGTTGTTCACTTTTTCTTCTTTATAATACATTGTGCTTTACATCTGCTTGCAGGAACTTCTATCTCCGAGTCACTGCTAGAGTCCGATTCACTGCTGTTTGAGTAAACACCGAGACCAGGTAATACAGCAACATATTTTGCCATCGTTTCACCTCCATTCTTAGATTCTGAATTTGATGTTTCCCTAGAGGCATTGGATGTTTTACTATTTGCATTTAATGACTTTTCCTCACATTTGTCTTCACTGTTACTTCTGTAAAGAGAACACAGGTACAGTTACTGCAGGAACTGTATTACCTACACTAAGGAGGTTATGTATTCACTGCTGTCTTTCTGTTTAACAAGATTACGCAAAAACTAATGAAAAGATCATCATAAAATTTATTAGATTAATATTCAATTTTCAAAAGAAAAGGTCAAGTTCATAGAAATATTTACACTCGAGCATAAATTAAAACAATGGAATCACCCCTCGTATTCAGCAATAATCAGGAAAACAAAGTCCACGAATACAATGGACGATTCAATTATTTTCTTGAGGGTATGCTGCGGCACTCAAGAAAACAATGTGCCTGAATACAATGGGTACTTCCATTATATCCTTGAGGGTATCCTAGAGGTTCGCTTATCATACACGGCCTACGTATTGTTAGTACTGTATTTATGGCAGCTTATAAATTACACTTCAAATATTCATTATTAATTTTTAAAGAATATTTTTTCAAATTATTGTACTTTGGTTGTATCATTTGTCCTATATAAACAGAACCTTTATATTTACCTCTTCCTTTTGACTGCACCAGCTAATAAAGACTGTTGAGATTTTCTTGATGATGTTGCTGTAGTTTTAACAATTGGCTTTCCCGTTGGTTTCTGTTTATCTTCTATCTTTACTTCTAATTCAGCTCTTGCTTTGTTTAACACCGTCAAGGAAGAAATAATAATGAACTTAAAAGCGAAGCATATTCAGATAATTTACAATACTGATGACTATGCTCTTGTGCATAACCATTTTAATAACCTACAACCTTTCCAGTTCTTCACATCAATTCAGTAAGAACACTATACAATTTAGGTTGTAATTTTTAAGCTAATTTTAATACATTTATGATATTCTTGATAATTTTATCTTTTTCAATAGTCTCATCATATGTGAGTTGCGGCCTTATAATTTGAACAATCTTTCCACATGATGCATAGTTTTGGTATGTGGGTCGGTCACAGACCTAGGATTTGAAATATTCTTACCCCAGGAAGCATAGTATGGGGTATAAAGCTTAGGGCTAAGATTTAAATGATCCTCCTCAGAATACATAATTTGGGGTATGCAGGCTGGTGCTTTAGGAATTGAAAATCCTACCTTGAGATGCATAGTGTGAATGGAGTTATTGATATATGATCTGATCCAATATCAATCAATATAATTAATTGATTGATATTGAAGTAACAGTAATTAAATTAAAATAGTTCAAAATTGTATCAACTGTGGAGCATTACCAAGCTTTGAATTGAACGTTTGGAGATAAAATATGTTAAGAAATTTCCTCTAGGTAATGTTGTACTGTATTTATTTATTTCTGCAATAGATTTAAATCATAAAATAAAAGATGTTTGAATGATTAATTGATTTTTTGATGGACTGGCTGATTGATTATCAGCATCACTATCGTCTGTGGCAGGGCAAATGTGTTTCCAGTCCTTTTGTTCGAGCCACCTAGGCAGAGGTCCGGGAATGCGCCAGGGTGGTGATGGATAGTGACCCCCGAAGAGTATTTGCATCTTACTCTGCCTATCTTTCCCATCTATGTCAGGTCTGTCATAAATAAATATACATAAAAATAAATAAATAATTTAAATAAAATTAATTAATTCAAAATAATAATGCAGAAAAAAGGCTGCAGGTGGAAAACAGCGCCGCGAGCATGCTCTACTATGAGGTGGATACGTGCGCCTAATAAGATGTTATTATTATTGTTATTATTATTATTATCACTAAGTTTAACAATAAAAAACTTCAGTGTTCAGTTTCACCAAAGGATATTCTAAATTCTTTAATCTCATTAATTTCCTCTTCCCAACGTTTATTTTCCAACTCAATTTGACGGTTGGATACTTCATCTAAGAACTCCGCCTCTTCATCTTCTAGTCCCTTCACCATGTTTTCTGTAATGAATTGTTGAGTAATTAATTAATGAATATTTGCAGACAAATCATGTGGATCCAGCAGTTTGAAATAGAGATAAATGATGTTTACATAATGCTAAGGTAAATGTTCACCCAATCAGGATTTGAACCTAAGACCTTCCAACTACTATCTGGTTACTCTACCAGCTGAATGATCGGGCTGCTGGTATACTGCATATGGTTACCATTTTAGGTAAGTGATTGTTGACAGTAGAAAGCTTTCAATTGCATGATGACAGCAGGACGTAGAATGTAATGACGTTACTAAAAGTCATCTGCGTATGCGAGAACGTTAAGGTCACTTCGTCGAGTAGATTCTGGAACGCAATTTGGCCAAATCTACGTATGCAGAGAACGTAGGACACCAGGTAGGACAGTCACGCATGAGTGATTTCGTTCTAGCATCGCACGCACAAATCGAAAGCTCCCTATTAATCCCCAGAATGCACCTTACAGAGTGTCAATCAAACATAACAACCGTCCAATCAGAACAGGGCCAGAAATATACGCATCTAATTAGTAACAATCACATGTGTCACCCCACAAACGCACATGCTTGCGTATGCTTTAACCTTAACACTGTTGTTTTGTGGGATCTTAGCAAACAATACTCAATGGGTGGGGTTTAACAAAAGGTTCATTAGGCCCAGGTTAATTTGCCAAAATTGCCAATGGACGACCCTGATTTTCAAATGCCACTGTGCTCTTGGGCAACAATATTTTCTTGCTGAGCTAATACAGTAGCCTTACTGAATTGATGCGCTTCATCATATTCCGCCTGCTTCTTGTCTTTTTGTTCTTGTAATCTGTCATATAGTGACCTTGGGTCATACTCCTCTTCTGGAGCCTCTGTAAAATAAAAAAACATGTCCATTAGTAAATAATGAGAGACTTTGATATGGGAAGTATATTATCTAATGTTAAAAATATATTGAAATTAATTTACTGATTTTTCAGTCATCCACTGAATATATATTTTATTTATTTTACTAAGTATTGTATTTTTGCTTTATAGCAAGTTGTCAGTTGCACCATAGTACAGGGTTTGTTTAAAATATAATCAAAGAAAGCAAAAAAAAAAAAAAAAGATTTAAAGATTTTATACCTAGTGGTTGCTCTGATGTCCTCACTTTCTCCCACTCTTCCTGCCTTTTCTTCCTCTTCTCTTCCAATTCACTTTCTGACACAAATGACTTGAATGATAATCCACTGCTCTCTGCCATGATGTCCTTTTGTTAGTCTGCAGATAAGGCAATGCATCAAAAACAAAGGTGCTCTCAAGAATACAGCATTAATAGTAATGAAAACCAAAATTAATTTGAGATACAGTAGTTTCCTACATTCACCTGAAGAAGTGCACAAAAGCGTATTGTCATTAAAACTACTCTTTATAGTACTTCATTGTTTTGTAAGCCTAGGCTTAAACTAGAGATGCTCCTTTTGAAACCAATCGGATTTTCTAAACTTTAGTTATCGTGTTAACTATCTTAATTAATGAAATATTGCAAATGAGCAATCAACATAATTATTCACAAACGTACCAAAAACAATAGGCTCTATTGCTTTATCACCATATTGCATTGTGGCAAGTTTGAAATCCATAAGACTTAACCAACCTATAGTTATCATGGTAACTAGCTTAAATTACTGGATTAGTGAAATACTAATTATGCAAATGAGCAATTAGCAAATTCACATATGTACGAAAAACAATTAGGCTCCGTCTTCTTATATACTATCTTACATTCTGCCAAGTTCGAAAACAATCGGACTGACCAAACTTTAGTGTAGTAGTCTATATATTATTATTACCCACATAGTGAAATTTGAATTATGCAAATGAGAAATTAGCCTATTCACACAAGTACCAAAAACATTAGGCTCAATCTTCCTATTACCACCTTGCATTCTGCCAACTTTGAAACCAATCGGAGCTAGGCCTAGGCCCTGGCCTGGGTAAGGCTAAGCCTAAGGGATTCCGGACTAGGCCTAGCTAGGAGCAAAGGCCTACAAACTAGGGGCCTAGGTAAGTCAAAAACGTAGATTTAGAATTTCAATCAGGAAGCCAGGCTTTATTAGCTTCTCTCCCCCTATCTATCCCACTTTCAGGTATATAAGCAAAGTATACTTCCATTTAAAACAATAAAATAACTTACAGAACTTTTGGCTCAGCCACAGCAAAAAATATACCAAAGAGAAAACGAGGTCTAAAGCCCGCCCTCCATTGATGAACACACGATGACACTCCTGTATGTGTCATCAAAAGACTGTAGGCCTGTCTGTGTCACACAATGACGTGTGCGGTGGGAAGTGGGAACAGATCTAAATGAAAATACCCTGAAATAATTGGAGAAACAATCACACATATATTATACACGTATATAATATCTCTTCTATAAAACTAAATCCAGTGAGAAGAAAATAAACTAATAGATAACCATCATCACTATTCCGTTTTTCATCGAGGCGTATCCGATAGAAGGCGAGGAAAGTCTAAGGGTCCACTTTTTTTTTACATTCAACGTTTATTAAATTATATCAAATATTTTCATTTCCGTCAATTTTTTTTCTTTCTTTCACCAGAAAAACTGCGGTCAAAGATTTCTGGCATAACAAAAAAGCATCTTGAAAAAAAGCCCCCATCTACAAAAAAGGGCTATTTGGGAAACATCAACCTAGCCTTTATGATTACTAAATATGTTATTTGAACGAATAATTCTTAGTTCCGTTTTATATTTTATGAAAGGCTTAATGATTCGAGCCGCATGAATAAATTTGTAAAAATCTATTGCAATTGGTAATTGTTAATATGATAACGCCAGTGGACCATAACCACACCTCTGAATACTACACTGACATATAAAGGGATGATTTTTTTGCATTTGTTGTTATTTTCCAGAGAGTCATCAGGCAAGTAACAAACTAACATCCTATACAATTTTATTTCCTTCATATCAGTGAGTATGTACCGGTATAGGACAAACCCTGGGGGATGGTGTCAACCAGCACAACCAGCAACGGAAGCTATTCAAGAGAATATAGATATAGTAAGTTGTTGACGGATATATTTAAGCTTTAGATAGATAGGTTTATATAAAATTTAGTTTATGCACTTCATATGCGGCGACACAAACACAAACCAATATATCAAAAAAAAAAAAAACAAAAACAAAACAAAACACTACCCCAACCGCCAACGGTGCGTTAGGCATATACCTGTACACATCACTGAGCTCCGACTGTATGAAATGGCGCATTATAATTTTTTTAATTATTTTAATGTTTATAAACATAACAATATATTATTATTATTATTATTATTATTATTATTATTATTATTATTATTATTATCATTATTAATATTTGATTATTATTTTCTTTCATTTCAATTTATTCAGTGATTCAACAAATTCACAACAAAATTATCAGGATAACAAAAAAGCTCAGAAGTGCTTATTTCCATTGTGGTCCTTACAGCAACAATTCAAAACACACAAGAAATATAAAGAAAAAAAAAAATGCATTTACACACTGGTTCCATAAATACAGTTTAGCACCCTTTTTAAATAAGAATTTTGAGTTAAACTTGTTTTGCATTGATTGGCGACCATTCCAATGCCATGCTCTGTATAAAAAGAACATTTACCAAAACGTTTCATCCTAGGAATAACCATTGATATGCTGCTTCTGACTCTAATATTATTATTGTTGTTGCTTTGTGTTGATGTTTTTTTATTATAATTATTATCGACCTTGTTCTTTGTCTGCAGCTGAGAGCAGATTTTGAAAAAACGTCACAATTATTCAATTTAAATAAGTTCGAAGCAAGACGGTATTGGTATCAAGACTCCTTCCAAGGACTACAAAATTTCTGCGTTGAGGTAAGGGCAAATCTTAATCGTATCCTCTCATGCATGTATTTATGACCTCCCTGGTATGGCAAAGAATCGGATTTCAAATTTCGCTTTCATTGTATACAGGTATTTTCTTTTATCAATATTAAAATACACTTTGTATTGAATTGGAAAACCTAGAACAGTGCGATGAACAGAAACATACACGTCACATAAGATCACTCGTATGCGTGCAATACAGAAGAATGAATAATATGATATTGAAAATATTTGATTCACTTGATTTTAATACTAATCATTAATATTCTGTACTTATTATTTTAATAGACCGATATTGGAGAAACTGAGTCTAATCTAGTGTACATTGAGTTTAGACAGAACCACAGTGGGAAGATTGCGTTCACGGCTTTTCTTCGCTCTTGGCCTTGGATGATGTAACTCGGTGTCGTCACACTCGAGATTGGGTCACTACACGTACACCTAGGCGAATCAGGGAGCAGTGAATTAGTATATACTGTACCTGGGCTGAATATAGCAATGGCGAATTCTAGGGTGGGGGTCGCTCCCCCCTCCCTCCTTGAATCCGCCCGGCTGGAGAAAAATATAATTAGTCAAATATAAGTCTAAAAGTGCCATTTTCGTCCATCCAGAGGTGCCATAATCATAAATTTTCTTTCCTCAGTCCCAACCATGGTGGGGCTGAGGTGATCTAGATTCTCTATCTGTGAAAATCTCTATTTCGAATTTCTGGATCCGACACTGTATAGTTTATATGGGCGTATTTGTCACGCATTTAAGCAGTGGCATATTTTATCATTTTGCTCCATTTATTACGATAATGTGTTTGTCTCTATATGGACTATATTATCCTCTCCTCCCACGACATGGGTGGAATATATACCCCTCCTCTCACTCCCAACACACACATACCACTCAGAAGTACTGGCGTTTCTCATCATTGTTATCGGCCTGTTTTGTATATTTCTCTTAACAAAGAGCCTTAATTATCATTCATGTAAATATCTTTTTTAAAGTGGGTTAACTAGAATAGCCTAAGTCACTCGTCTTCCATTCGCCAAATTATTATTATAGTTGTTATTGTTATTCTACTTGGTGTCGTGTAAGTTATCCAGGCCTCCGTGCCAGGGAAAGGGGGATGGGGTAATATTGATGAGGGGCATCATATTTTATAACAGACAGTATCCGTGTTTAAGAAAACGTCATGCATCATGTAAAATGGTATGTAGCCTATTGTAATTAAAATTTCAATATTTAAGATAGGCCCTACTTTTGATGCAATTATTTTTAAGAAAAATGTAAATAGAACGATATTATATAGTATAGAGCTTCCATTTTAAAATACAGGTCTCCCTCTAATTAAAGACCCTCCAATTAAAGACCACCCCCAAATATTAAACACTTTTCTGTTGTCCCAAATTAACAAATGTCTTGTATATTTATTTTTCTAAAAAGAGACCAAAGCTACTAGAGGCAACGGAAACCCTGTTCCTAAAGTGGTCTTTAATTGTACTTTCAATTGTTTCTGTTCTCTTAAAGCATAGTGTCTACTAGATATATTTTAGAACTGGTCTCTTGTAGTACCGTACAATGGGAGTATACTAATCGAGCTAGGTTGTATTCATGATATTCAGTTCCACATCATAGTCTTGTTAAGAAGAGCAGACATATTACCCCGGCCGGGAAACCCGCCGAAAATAGCATGGGTAAAATTGGCAATTGATCAGAATTTCACATCCCTCTCACCACGCACACCAACAAACACGTGTATCTTACTGCATTTACTGCAAGGAAGACCTAGTTCTTGTATATGATCAGCATGAATAAAAGTACTAGATCTTCTTTATGATTAAGTTATTGTAGGCCTATCTATTTCTTCGTTCGAGCAAATCATTTATATTTAATCAAATAGCAACATTAATCGTCGTCGTAAATCAGTCATGTTAATCAATCAATAGACCACCATCCAACCAGTTAACACCCGGACAAAGCCATACTACCCACGCACAACGAATCGGTCAGTGAGTGAGTGAGTGAGTGAGCGAGTGAGTGAGTGAGTCTGTCAATCTATATCAACAATCAAATATCTTTTATTTTAGAAATTAAATCTATTGAATAAATAAAATATGACTTCAAAAACGTGGTAATGCTTCACTGTTGGTACATTTAGGGATTATTTCAATTAATTATAGTTACCTGAATATTAATTATATTGATTGATATCGATATCATATCATATCAATAATTACATTCACAACCAACCAAACAATCAGTGAATACATTAATACTTATTCCGAAGGCTTTTTATGCACGTCATAGCTGTGATAATAATATATCGGCACAAATTGCCTCCCATACGTGTACACGTCTTCCGAAAACACGAAGAAAACAAGAGCGTTTAGAATTTGGCCCATGAATTTGTCATCGTCAGCGTGATTATTGTTAATGAAAAGAAGCTGTAAATATGAGGAGAGTCTGATATGTAATTTGTGTATGTATTGATAATGAATACAATTCTGATTATATTGAAATATTGCTAATTATTTCTAGGCCTTGCTATGTGCGAACGCCAAATTAGGACGGACCGGTGTGGTAGGCGCTCTAAACCTCTAATGGCCTACTACTAGTAGGCCTAGGGGCTAGGCTAGGCTAGCCCAGTCGGGACCGAATACAGATCATTTCGGTCGCGCCTTGATTTCGGTCGCGCCATATTGTTATGCATTTCGGTCGCGATAAACAGCCTCATTATGGAACGCCGATGTACGCACTAGTGCTTTATTTATGTTTGGAAAGTAATTTTTAAAGGGTTCTGTATTTTTAAAGTTTATTTGGTGCATGTTTCAGATTTTGGGTATTAATTTTATTTATTTTGGCTTTTTTTACGATGCTTGACTATCATAGGCCTAATATTTTTTGTATTTTTTTTTTTAGTATGATTGTTGTTTAGTTTTTACGATTGTTATTAATTACAAGTAATTTGAATATATATAGGTGTAATTTTGTCCTACCTGACGTGGAAATGTACCGAATACTCAGTACATTTGAAAACGACTGCTATTATTCCATCACGACAATAACAATTACTGTCAACACTGCAGTACCCGCTGCTTACCTGGACTCGAATTCAACCCTGGCCATCAGGTGCAAGCTCGGTGGTCTAGAGGTATGATGCCAGGCTAGTGATCTGGAGATCGTGGGTTCGAGTCCCACCCGAGAACAACTAGCGATTTTTTTCGCAGTTGTTTTCAAATGTACTGAGTATTCGGTACATTGCCACGTCAGGTAGGGCAAAATTACACCTTATGCATGTTTCTCCTGACGCAAATCCAGTTATTGTCTATTATTCCATCACAACAATAACAATTACTGTCAACAATGCAGTACCCGCTGCTTACTTGGACTCGAATTCAACCCTGGCCATCAGGCGCAAGCTCGATGGTCTAGCGGTATTATGCCAGGCTAGTGATCTGGAGATTGTGGGTTCGAGTCCCACCCGAGAACAACTTGCGATTTTTTTTCGCAGTTTTCAAATGTACTGAGTATTCATTACATTTCCATGTCAGGTAGGGCAAAATTACACCTATACATGTTTCTCCTGACGCAAATCCAGTTATTGTCTATTATTCCATCACGACAATAACAATTACTGTCAGTTTGAATATAATTTTAGCGTGTTCTTTTTTTTTATTACAGGTTCTGAAGTGAAAAGTCAAGTACATATTTGTATTTATCAATTTCTGAATTATTCATAATAAGGGCCTAGGAATGTTGTTATTTATCAAATTATAAACATGACCAGAACATTCAAGATAATGGAAACGTAACAGACAAGAAAACAAATGTATGAAAAACTAATTTATTGACTATAGCCTGGTTCTCACGAGAGCCCTAGTATCCGGATCGGGAGCTAACCATTAGCACTAACCGTTAGCACCTGCGTGAGAACGCCCGATCGGCTAGCGCTAACTGTTAGCGGTATCCGGATACGCTAACAGTTAGCAAGCGCTATCGGTTAGCAAGTTGAGGGTGTTTCTATCATCAACCAATCACACGTACGCGTTTACAATTTTCAGTTTCTTATTGGCCAGTGATTCGATCATCATATTGTTGGTATCCGGATCGGGATTTTCTTACATGGACGCAAGGCAGCTAACGGTTTAATAGCAGGATCCGGATCCTGCTAACCGTTAGCTGCCGTGTGAGAACATAGCTATTATTTAATTCATAAATTTCCATTCAATTTATGCATTATTAAAATATATATTGCAACAAACATTAAAGAGAAACTTGTCTCAAACCAAGTAACATTTTCGTTGTTTCTGTAAAAAAAGAAAAATAACACCAAGTGATACACGTAATATTAATAATCATAAACTATAATATTATAGTACAGTATAAATACAAATAATTGTTAGTCAACTAATGTTTTATGTAAGTTTTGTGTTTATAAAAATACTATACTGCTTAGCTCCCTTGTTCCAGATTTGCAGTCACCCCGTTGGCACGCCATACACCGCGACCGAAATGCATAACGAAAACAGCGAGACCGAAATGAAGGCGCGACTGAAATGATCGGATACTGTCGGGTCTCAGGCCCTACTTACAGTACTTAGGCCTAGGCCTGAAGAGCAAAAAAGTTACGCAAATAGTTGGTGTCCAGCGGTCCCGCCCGCACTAGTAAAACGGCAAGACTAAATGCAAAAACTAAATGACAGATTGCATAAATAATTTTCTCCATTTCCCCCATGTCCCAGACCCCACTCCTATTCATTGGTGTTTAAAAATGTGCATTTATGACCATCTCTAGATGTGCCTGCATTGGTTTTTTACACATCCTTGGCAGGTCTGTATGTAAGTAGGCCTAGTACACAGAATGAGTGACAGTATGGACCAAACTACTGTTAATAAGAGTTTTAAATTTTTTGTCATTAATTGATTGTCGATATTCTTTTAAAATTTTTTTTTGTCATTAATTGATCGTCAATATTCTTTTTTGTTCACAGGATACTGAAACATCATCCTTAATGTATTTTCCAGCTTACTGGATACCTGCACTTCTTAATCAGCTCCACACCATTCACCACTGAAGACTTCAATCTCCTTTGATCCACCACCACACAGTTGAGACAGTTAAACACATGAATTACAAAAATGGAGGATATTTGATTTAAATGAATGGAGCAGAAATTTTTTACAAGTACAGTAACACACTAATAAGCTGTGTTCTGTTTAAAGCAGAGAACTTTTAACAGATAAAAATATACAGTCTTTAGAAACAGTTAAGGAACCTTGGACAATCAAGATGGCATCTTTTAGAAGTTACGTCTGGGATCCTATTCTAATAATAGCACAGATGTTGAGTATGCAGACTATTTTCTATGTTTCTTTAGGATTCTGGCTAATCATTGTCGATAAGATCTCCAACACTAATAAATCATTAGACCAAATGTTTAACCATTCAGTAAGTGTCTTTTTACATATTTTAATTATAAATGTTTGCTCGCAATCACATTTATTCAATATAACACTAACCACAATTGATTATAAACTTTGATGTTATTTTTAATGTATTTTTTCTTTATTTAAAGCATTTTCCAGATTATTAAATTTTCTTTGACAAATTTTTGTCATGATGTGATGTCATCATGACCATACATGTATTTGGGCAAGTTACATTTAATTTTTTTAATGAAGTTTGATCACTTGGAAAATAGGTTCGCGGAATCTTAATTACTGCTTATGCATTACTTGTATATTGAGAGATAGGCCAAAGCATAATTTTTGGCAAAAATTGTTAGAAAGTCGGCCTTTTTTTTTTCAAAATGCACTGACGAAGTTCTAGACCTAAGTTTTGCATAGTGATTTATGCCCCACGCAAGCTTTATTTTACATTGCTTTATATTGTGTATGTTTTTTAAATGAAGAGTATTTAAAATCAGTGTATTTTGCACATAAACAGTAACTCTTCATAATTGTAACAATTTATCGTCTGGTTAAATTTTGAAAAGACCCTAAGGTTTTAAATGAACAGACCAGTTTTTGCTCAATTACAGATTTTTAACTAATACTACTGTATAAACAAATGATTATAATTTGACTGCAAGTCAATTTGAGGTTCAATGCAAATAATAGGATCTAAGCAATTGTACATCTATGCATCTTTTGCTTTCTTTGTTTTTTGATGAAAATTGTTAAATGATTTGTCTTTCAGTCATTGGACATCAGTTCCGGTAGTGGTAAAATAATATTAGTAGCTTTTATGCTGAATTCATTAACAGGGTAAGTAATATTATACCATATATTATTATATTACCATACTGTATATGTATTATTATATTACAATGTGTGTAGACTGGTCTGATTGTATTTTCCTGAATAGGAGTATTTAAACCAAAATGTAATACCATTTAAGGCACTAAATGCAGATATTATCCTAAACATACCTACACAGAATGGAACAATGTTTTCTATAAATGTTTTTATTAAGAAGCTTATTGAGTGGAGTTTTAGTTGCGAGAAAAGTCCTGGTGCCCTGCAGGTTCTGAACCCAGTACCCTGTCTCTTATACACATCTAGATGTGTATAAGAGACAGAGGGAATTGATCGAATGACCAATAATTAAATTGTATTATATTTTGTTCTTAATAGGGCTATAAGCTTATGGTTAATTATACGCCGTTCAAAACAGTGTTGGGATTTTGCAATAACCGTTCACATTATACATCTACTTAGCTGTTGGATCTACAACGTACGCTTTCCATCGACAATGACGTGGTGGCTGACCAACATTGTATGCGCGTCATTGATGACGGTCCTTGGCGAGTATCTCTGCATGCGAAGCGAAATGAAGGCAATCCCAGTAGCAGGGGGAAGGGCAGACTTATGACAAAAGAAGTACTAATATTCAGTTAGTCTTTTATTAAGACGATAACAAAAATTACTTTATTTTATAGCAAGATATATTTTATCCAAATATGTAACAATTTCCAATTTATAGTATCTTAATAAGTTACGAGTGTATTTTCTTTATCATAAATGACCAACAGAGCGTTGCAGCACTTTTGAAGCATTTTGTGTGGCTTTAAAAGAGGCACTTCTTACAAAGTATTAGTGTTACATGTTGTACATTGGCATATTTAACTTGTTGCAACATTATTTAGTCAATAAATTACTAGTGTCAAATGATACATAAAATCAAGGCACTTTGAATATTATCCACTGGACCACTTATTGGGGACTCCTATGGAAATAATTTGTCTTTTTTCGCAATTTTAGGGTTATCCCCCGATATGCTCTTTTGTGATATGATCTGTTTATGTGTATTTGTTTCTTTTGTGTTTTTTTAAAGAGCATATTAAATAAATTAAATCAAATTGAAAATTGAAGACCAGTGTTTAATTGAGAGGCACTTGTTCGATAATTTACAAAGTTCAAACAATCTTTATAGAGGATGACAGAGCTGTAGTTAAGGGATCTTCTTACAATACATTAAAAAACAATACATTTTGTTTTTAGATTAAAATATCCTTACTGTACATTTTTGGAATGTAATTATGTTTTGTGTAGTTCAATTGATTTATTACATGAACAGTTGTGTTCCTAGAAAGAGATAATGTTTTAATTGATATCAATAATTTTTATGATACAGTAAATAAAATTTAGAATTTGAAAATTTATGGGTTTTTTTTATATGTAAATAAATATAGTGCATGTAATTTATTTATTTTATTGTCATCCAACAGCAGATTATTTTCAATGAATCTGTTCACCACTAACAATGTCGGAAGCAGTTTGGCGCAGTGGGGATGGTTTTGTTTCCCGACCTCCAGGTCGGGTTTCAATTCCTCGCTGTGCATTTCACTTGTCCTTGGGCAAGGCACTAATATCTGCATTGCTTCTCTCCACCCAGGATTATAAATGGGTACCTGGTGGAGTTGCCTGCTCCTGCGCTGATTACCAACAGCAACACCTAAAGCATGTGGACCCACTGACCAGGGAAAAGGAACGCACTTTATAGCCTCAAGGAATAGGCACATTATAAATGCCTATACCAGTATCCTAATCATGGGCAGGTGTAGTGTGCTCTGGGTATTGGTCTGAGGCTTAGCAAGTGTAGCTTTTAGCCATATTAAAAAAACCATGGGATTTCAGAAGTGTACTCTAGGATCCTGGGGGGCTTGTAGGAAAGCTCTATTACAAGTGATACACATGAAGGTAGCAGGATGTTATTTTTGGGGTGTGGCTAGGGGGTTCCCAGAGGCTGAATGCGAGCATGGTTCCAGTGTTAAAGGTCCTAGAAAGACGAGTAATTTAAACAGCTCTGTTTTTTATATACCTGTATCAGAGTTGGTAAATAAAATGTGGCTATTCAGTAGTTACTGTAAAATGCCATCTAATGACCATATTTTCTAGAATTTCATTAAATTAGGTACTGTATATAGATTATAGAGTTGATTCCAATAAATTTTTAAATGTAAACAAAAGATGTACAGGTGTTCTGCTTACCACTTGTTTTGGCATTTGAAATGACTAATAGAAGATGTAGTGGATACAGGAATAGAGTAGTGTAGAAGTGAAACCTTCTGCTCATTATAAAACTATACAGTAATCATGTTCTTGCAAGAAAATATGACCATACACTCACATACTTTTACAATACAGTACATGTTACATCCAGTGGTGTAACAGCTTTTAGCTGTCATGGGCCCCAGGCCTTAAAGGGTCCCAAGATAATTATCAGCATTTTGGCTGGGTGGGGCTTTTTAAGGAGCACTAACATTTCAAACCCATTAAAATACATCTATAAAATGTCAAGTACACCAAAGTGGGCGGGACTTTTCCGCCGGGAGCCTCAGACCCCTTTGATGCGCCACTGATTATATCATATACAAGCATACATTCTCGCATAATTACATAATCACAGTCCTTCACAATGGACCATTTGTTTATACTGTAATTTTCTATTCATAATGCATTGAAGATAAATGAAAAACTAAATACAGTACTATTTTGTTTTAGATTAAGCTATAGTTTATATTAACCTAAATGAAATTCCTACAATATACACATACATACAGAAACATTTTCCACACTTTTTTTACTGAACATATAATATTTCACATTTATTTATTTACACACTATATAAACAATGACTTCTGTACTTGGTACTAGTTGTTAATGACATTTCATAAACTTAAATGGCATTCATATTGAAGAATAAAAAAAATATATAAAATCGATGGCAACATTTTGCTAAAAACAGAAATATATAATATATAATATATATGTATATATTCAAGGTGACAATGTGTTCAAAGTATTTCAGTATATAAAATGCATGAGTATTATTTTTTATTATTGCTTATGAATTCACATTTTAAATACCCAAGATAGAAATTTTCAAATGAATATAATATAATATACACAATTTGTGTGTATATCTTATATACATGTATATAGAATATATACATATTGCACAAAAAATAAATGTTGGGAGATGGATGGAATACTGATATTTACTGAGTTTTTGGCTATTGAATAATAATTTAAAATTTTAAAAATAGATTAAATTATGATACTAACATAATACAAAAAAATATGTATACACACTAAGTGGTAGTATTGACAGCATTCATGCAAGGATTTTGTGAATGCATAATAGGTGCATCAGGAGTATAATATATTTTTATTATTTTTATGGTATTCTTGTTTTTATTGTTGCTACAATCAATATGAAAATCATTTTAAAAGGTAAACATGCCAAATTCTGGTTGCTTATGTTGAGAGGCAGCATTATCATATTTCAGTCAATTCTACGGACCAAACACGTAATGAGTTCTGAAACCGCTCAAGAGTTTTCTTAAGTAAAAAAAAATTGGAATGGAATTATGCAAACATTATACAAATACATAGGGACTGTAAACAGCAGAACCTCGTCTTAGTATTATATAGCAAGTCAATTGTGACTTCACTCAACTATTGCCTGCTACGCTACTACTGTACTAGTGCCCAAGCACCTACTTCATTTCCTTTTCGGAAAGTTTACAATTACTAGACATTCATAGCTAAAATCTCCTGGTCTTTCAAATTTTGTTAAAAGGTATAAGTACCACCATACTATAAAAAGTAAAATAAAAATAAAACACTAGGTTTGGCGAGATTAATTGCTAAAAATCCTAGGCTTGATGTGGCTTAGTTCTGACTGAAAATATGGGAAGCAATAAGGTTGTGAGCAGTAGCAGACCAGCGTTGAATGTAAATTCAATGTTTGGTTAAAAGAAAGCTGAATTTATAATGCACTATAAACCAAATTTTCAAAATGTGGCCGCCAGTTGTTTTTAGTCTGAAACAGAAAAACCTTGCTTGTAGGATTCATATCCAGAAACCTGGGATTGAATAGCAAGAATTTTAACCACCAAAATACACCTTGGTACTGTACTGGTATCTCAACAAACCTGACAACTTTCAGTTGCAGAACACATACCAAAAATTGATCCCATCACATGCACTGCCTATACCTTATTGTCACGTGTTACCATCATTATCAACCTCTATACCTTCATCAATTAACATTTGTTCCCCAATTCTATTGTTCACATTTTCTTCCAATTTCCCTTCTTCCAACTCATCAGATACTTCCTTCTCAATCTTTATCTCCTCCTTTCCTTCAGTTTCTTCACTCACTCCTGTATCCCCTGTTTCATCTTCCTGTGATATCTCTTTATCAGACTTTTCCTTTTGGTCTTCGTCTTCTTCGTGTATCACTTCTAATATACTTCCACGTCTTGAATCCCTCCATGTATCAGTTAGTTTACTTATTGGTTGGACCTCAGGTTCATCATCTTCTAATGTCACGTCTTGTTGGTCGCTTTCTAAAGTGGGTGATGTTCGAAGGTCACTCAAATCTTCTTCATTCTTATCATTTTGAATGTCATTTTCTTCTTGATGAAAATCCTCTTGTATGTTTTCATTTAATTCTTTTTCTTCTTTGTTCCTCTCATTTTTACTGCCTTTTGAAGAATCCTTATCAGGCATCCCTTCCATTGTATTATTTAACTCCTTCTCTATAGCCTTTATCATATCCTCACTTTCACTGATTCCATTAAGCATCATGATTTTTATTTGGTCCTTGCCATCTTCTGTTGCCAAATCCAAAGCACTCTTGCCCAACTCGTTTAAAGCATCCACATTGGCGCCAAACTCAAGAAGGATTGCGGATACTTCTATATGTGCACTTTCTACGGCGTGCATTAATGGTGTGCTCTGCAGGGATGCAATAAAAAAAAAAGCACAAATTGTTTAATCCATTGAAGATTAAAAATGACTGGGATAATAATGTGCACAGAGATCTTGTTGCCTATTAACATTACAGGTTTCCCTCAAATTAAGGACCAATTTTGGGGCCAGGGTTTCCCAATATGTATTTATACAAACCTTTTGAAGATCATCTCTACAATTTGAATATGCTCCAAGTTCCTTAACAAGATAATATGTAGTAAGGACGGCATTACAGCTTGCTGCCTTGTGGAGGATCATGATGTTTTCATAGAGCGAATCCACATCAATATAATCATTGTCTAGTAATTGCTTAACCTAGAAGAGAGAATTACAAACAAATTATAATCACAGAGTCAGAGGAAACCTCTGAAAACTATTACATTGGTTGTTAACATGGTTACAGGTAAAAAAATGAGATGCCCTGAGGAGGGGTAAAAATAGTGACGTATCTAGGGTGGTATGCCCACACCCCCAAACAATACTTGTGCCCCACCGACACTGAGTGAAAATGGTTCTCACACTCCTTAAGCTCTGTCCAGACTATCAAGTTTGATTTGACAAAAACATGTGACATGCCTAAATATGGTCATGATGACATCACATCATAACCATATATAGGCACATCATGACTATATATGGACATACAACAGCTTTTTGAATCTGGACAAAGCTTTAGATACATCACTGGTAATGATAAACAAATGAGGCGCTTGCTTTGACAGTCTAATATTTAACCGTACCTTGATAACATCGTCTCTCTCAACAGCTGTCCATATCTCTTGCATAACCTTCTCTCGTTGAAATTGTAGTGGAGAACCAGGTGGAGTTCCTGGCTCAATGATCTCCTGAACCTCTTCTACCTCCGACTCCTCACTCTCTGATGAATCTTCACACACTGATCATAAAAATCAAACAAATATTGAAGTTATTTTTTCTATTAATTGCTGCTATATAACAACACTGTAATAGATTACTATAATTCAATTCATGGCATGAATTAAGATGATAAAGAAAATACAAAATGAGATGGATAATGAAGAAAACTATTGTTTAGATAGGGACAGCTCTGTCTTGTGCCATCTAGAAACTTTAATGAGCATACTATAGTTAATGATGGTGTAGAGCTGGTGGAACTGATGATGTGGAGATAGTTTTGGTTAACAACTTTAGTGACAATGGTGGCAAAGATGTGGTGGCGACTATATATACCAATTGAGGGCGTATCACGCCGCGTATATAGCGGTGTTGACCAGCATTAGAGTCAATGCTTGAGAAAGAATAGCCGAGGTGTATCTGAAACGTTGCAGGTATGTAACATTTATTACAACTGAATAAACAAAAACAAAATAATCCAAAAACAGTTATTAAAAGTTTAGAAATTAAACATACCATCATCCTTATGCTTAACTATAAGAATTGATTCATCTAACTCTCCATTGGCAACTTTCAAGAATGTCTCCCTATTTTCCGGAAGCATTTTAACTTGTTCCTCATCCATTTGCGTGATCCTTCCCTCAACCTCGGGAGCTATGGTACACTTGTCATGCTCTACCCTCTTCAAACTGGCTTCAGTCAAAAAACTTGGTTTCCTGTGTATAATAATAATTTAATGGTATGAAAAATACAATAGATTTTCCCACCACCTAAAATCATAATAATTTAAAAGATGTATTTCAGAGATGAGTTAAATATAATGCAATAACTGAATATGCTGTATATGTAATGTGAAATAGATGTCGTTAGAATATCTGCACAAAAAAGGAGTATGAATGATTCCAAATGGGTAAAGATGTCTAGCGATTGTGTTGATGGCAGTTGTGGATGCAGTAGTCAGGGAATTCATGGGTGCGAGGTGATCTTAATGCTATTTGTTTTTCACTATAACAACAAAAACACTAACAACAATATTAATAATAATAATCCTCATTATCATCAGACGGTCAGGCCACTACTGGCCAATGGCCTCCTCAAAATCCATTCTGGTCTATTCTTTGCCAGATTCGCCCAGTTCAAACCAAACTCCTTTTGGAAAAGATCACTTCATCTCTTGTTTGGTCTTCCTCTTTTCCTTTTGTTAATTAATAATATGGAAATTTATATGTAATCTGGCTCAGGATATATTTTAGTAGAATAGTGGCATCGTGTGAACTCATACCAGTACAGTATATACCTTTTTCTTTTAATTTTATTTTGTAATATAATTCTATTCTATAGAAAAACAAATGTTAAACAATAAACGATGATGGCAATAAATAATGATGATGATGATGATGATCTGAATCAATAATCACATCTCTTACTTGGCTAAGCTGATCAAACTCTGTCTATGACCTGATCGACAAGGCTTCAGTCCTTTCACAATCATGACAGATGCAAAATGATTTTGGACGATAGTGAATAGGTTTGGTCCATTCTCTTCATCTACCACATATTCACAATCTTTGAAAACTGTATAACCATCCTTTCCTTTTGCTATATAATTCTTTGTACAGAGTCTATAAACCTTGTACAGAAAAAAAGAAAAAGCACAATGTATATTATACTGTATATTTATGTATATGCTAGCACCGTAACCACATTATAAACAAATATATAACTAATAATGTTATACATATTGCATCAAAAGTTCACTCTTTCAGTTGTATGAAAAAAGGCATAGCTATGATACTAATAATGATGATGGTGTGAAGAAATTAAATTATACATTATTGTTAATAAGGCCTTTTCTACAATTATATTTATTGTTTACTGGTAGTCATTTTATGTCTTTTAAAATTTAAATTTTGGAAGATGATTTTTTTCAACTTTATGATATTTATGGACAAGTATAGTTTAAGAAAAATGCATACCTTATTTGGAAGTATACAACCTTCGTCTTCAATGATGATTGATAATGGGTCAACCCTCTGGCCAAGCTCTTCTTCAGGGTTGAAGCTAAACCTCATACCAGCCACCTGGGGGAATCGGCCCTCTTTCTTAGGGTATTGACACACGCTATTCTCAAGGGCCTTCCAAATCTGCATGCCTACAACACAAGGTATATTACTTCATAAATTCATGCTTTATTTCCAATCACTTATTCAAAATTTTGCAATGAAACAAATACATAAGAACAATAAATTTATCATAATTTTCTCATGAAAACTGAATTGAAACATTTAAAATAGAGAAAAAAAAAATAGCACCATCAAGTATTTAAGATACCAGAAGGTATATTCGTTCATTTTTGCTTTAACTTCTATTCATTTATTCAAAAATTTTAGCGAAGGACATTAATAATACATGAAAAAAAATAATAAAATTTTATTATCATAATTTTCTCATGAAAATTAAAGTGAAACATTTAAATTAGAAAAAAAATATTGCATCATAAAATATTTAATATTCCAACTATAATAAAATATAAGTTGAAAGGTGAGTTAAATATTCTAATTCACACTGACCTGTGACCTTAAGAACAACAATTGAGTCCACAAGTGGTAATATGCTCTTCAAATCTTTCTTCTTGAATTCTCCTTCCGGGTGAAGTGTGTCAGAACGAAATGTTCCTGAATTTATCAATGCTATGTCCGCATTCATTGCTTCCAACATGATGTCAGCGACAAAGTTACCTAATTTCACAAAGAAGATGGCATTTGATAAGAGCTAAGTTTATATTAAAATTCAATAATTTATTTCAAATTTAGGAAAAAATAAGGTTTATAAGGTGTAAATTACTGTATAATTAATTACAATAAAAGTTTCAGTTACATTGACCAACATAAATACAATTTAAAAATCTATAGTAATATTTTTTAAAAGCAGATCAATTTTATAATATATTACATGTGTACATTTATAACCTTTAATTATATTAACAATTTTAAATAAATTATAAAAAACTTATTATATAGTATATAAAAATGTTATATATAATCTATGTACATTATTAAACAAGCACATTGGTAATCAACATTTTTATTAACAATTTTCAGTTTTCTAATCAATTTATACTGCCTGTGTTAGTCTAGACCTATGCAACTATAGCTAAAAAGGTGCTTCATGGAATGACATGTTTAAAGCACGAATTCCTGTTGGCCATACATTAATTTACCCACGGTATTGAGCAAAAACAAATAATTAAATATCTCAGATACCTAGATTTGTTTCCTGATTCCTGATGGAAGAGAAGCGTCCATCAAGTTCAACTTCGATGTGTCCAAGGGAGGTTTCCAATTCTTGAGTCATTTGACCTGGAATGGGGAAAAAATTAAAATTACACAGAACTTGTAGGAGCGGTTTGGCGCAGCGGTTGCATTTCTGCATCTCAACCTTGAGGTCGGAGGTTCAATCCCTCGCTGGGCATTTCACTTGTGTCCTTAGGCAAGGCACTTTACCTATGGTTGTCTCTCTCCACCCAGGCAAGTGGGTATTTGGTAAGCTAAAACACAAAATGCACTGATTATTACAGCTGCAACATTATGGAATTCTCCCTAGGGGGCTGAGTATGTGTTCCATATGTGCTTGATCCAATGACCGGGGGTAATGATGTAAAGTGCTTACAGGCCTTGTTGCCCTTAATTTCTATAATATAAGTCTATTATTAACTTCCAATAAATTATATCAATAATATCACATATATTCATCAAAATCACTGAAACAATTTTATCATCATCATCATCCTTTTTCCTCATCACCATTCTCATTATTTACCATTATCATCCTTAATATTATCATCATCCTCATTACAATACTTAATTATCATTCATTAATTTACCTTGAGTATCAGCTTCATCATCCTCATCATCTTAATCATTATCATCATCATCCTTAGTTTCATACTCATCACTTTAATTATTTATATTTATTTATTTGAACCAAATTTAATGAGGGTGACCCATCCAGCAGAAGCTGATTTGCTTGCCCTCCAGCACCCACCCCTAGCTCATGGAAAAATAGGGGCGGCATTTAAAAAGAAAAAAAAGGGGCATTTAAAAAAAAAAAAAAAAAAAAAAGGGGGTAAAAAAACAGTAAAAAAAATTACCAAATTATAAGATAAAATAAATTTAAGTCAGATAAATCAGCAGATAATAACTAAAAACAATGAATAAGAGATAAATACAGAAAAAATAATAAACAGGTTATATCTAACATTAACATCATCGTCCCCATCTTCATCATTTGGCTCTTCATCAACAACATTACAATAATACTACCATACTCATTGTTGTTGTCTTTGTCGTCATCATCATCGTAATAATTCTGATCATAATCATCCTCATTATTACCATCATCAACTCCATAGTCATTATCACCTTCTGCTGGAAACCATGCACCAAAGTCCTGCTGTTATTAGAATTGAATCATAAATAGCAGTAAATTGAATTTAAGTCTGGGAAATACATTGTTAATACTTACGTTGAAAAGAGCCTACAATGCTTTTAACTTCTGGATCTTCTTCAACACTTGAGTCAATTGTTATAGCATCCGTCGTCACTCGCACATCGGGCAGCTCATAGAAACTGATATTGATTTTAGTCATGTGTCTGAATTCAGTACCACTCTTCACAATGTACTTGTTATTAACCTATAAAATGCCAATAAGTCATTCACTTAAATTATTACATTTATTTTTAATGGTAGCTCATTATATTTTATAATAATATATAGTTGATGATTTCATATTAAAAAAAAACGAAAAAGGAGGACGGGTATTATTTATATTAGGGGAAAATATACAGTATTTTAAATGCTCTCTACAAACATAGTTTTGAAAACTGTCCCCCATCAAGGCTTGAAACCAAGATTCCCTGACTAACGTGTATGTTATAGTATGGTCTTCTATGGTGTGGAATATATTACGGATAGTAGCCCATGCACGCAGTGGTTACCACCAGTTTAGCCGACTGAGCTCTGTCTCTTATACACATCTAGATGTGTATAAGAGACAGGTATACAACCTTCGTCTTCAATGATGATTGATAATGGGTCAACCCTCTGGCCAAGCTCTTCTTCAGGGTTGAAGCTAAACCTCATACCAGCCACCTGGGGGAATCGGCCCTCTTTCTTAGGGTATTGACACACGCTATTCTCAAGGGCCTTCCAAATCTGCATGCCTACAACACAAGGTATATTACTTCATAAATTCATGCTTTATTTCCAATCACTTATTCAAAATTTTGCAATGAAACAAATACATAAGAACAATAAATTTATCATAATTTTCTCATGAAAACTGAATTTAAACATTTAAAATAGAGAAGAAAAAAAACATAGCACCATCAAGTATTTAAGATACCAGAAGGTATATTCGTTCATTTTTGCTTTAACTTCTATTCATTTATTCAAAAATTTTAGCGAAGGAAGATGTGTATAAGAGCTTACCAGTTTAACCTCATAGTCGTGATCATGGCCTCCAAGTATAAGGTCAATGCTGTCAACTTCCTCCGCCAACCTGATGTCGTTTGGCATGCGCATGTGAGTTAATGCAATGATGAATTCAGCACCCTGTAAATATGAGTCAATATTGTTGTATGCCCATTTATAGTCATGATGTGCCTATATATGGTAATGATATGATGTCATCATGACCATATTTAGGCATGTCACATGTTTTTGTCAAATAAAATTTGAGAGTCTGGACAGCGCTATACGGTAGATGTACCTCATTCATTGGAAAGTTTATTTAATTTAATATTTTTTATAATGCCATAGAGTCAGTAGTTTATTACGCATGAACTTTCGTTCATGCAGCAAACTTCTTCCTTTGACCAAAATTCTGATTAATCACAATCACCTGAAAAAGTTCACTGTGTTGATGAAAGCTTGTGCTCAACAGACTACATTTTGTAGGTTAGTCTTCAAAATGCTGCCTGTCTTTTTACTGACTGTAAAACTCCGACAAACATGGCTCCCCACTAATTCATGTTATAATATCATGTTTATTCCACTTGCAGTGGATTCTTGCGCTTTGCAAATCATGATGAATGATTGATCCACCAAAGCAGATAATGATTTCTACTACTTCAGTTATTCAAAGTTACAGTATGTGCCACTCTGCTTACCAACCTGTTCTTTAAGTTCTTTAGCTAATTCCTTTCCCTTCGTCACAAAATCAATGTAGGTCAGATTTTCCCTATCTATAGTCGCTAATGTCACAAGCCATTCTTCCTCTACCAATCCCATAATTCCAATCTGCAAATTAAAAATACAATCCAATTGTAAAGCAACACCTGTACTATACATTGCTAGGCGAACTAGCCAATAATTAATATAATGATAAAATTATATTTTTAACCTAAAAAACAAATTACAAGAAGTGTACATAAAAATATACTGATGTATTATATGTATTTTCTATATATTATTAGACTCCAAAATTAATCAAATAAGCCTTTGAAACCCACAAATTGTCATTTTTTTCGGGGGAACACTTTTGAGAGATATTGAGAAACATCTGACCACGCCCACCTTTTTTCGTCGGGGACATTGG